GATCCTAATTTTAGAGATGATGTTTTCTGTATGTCGTCTTCTGTCAACTGTTTACTGGTTTTCCACGCTTATATTACGTCACTTGTATGTCACCCAGAGTAGTGTCCTTGCCACTAGTTGGGTGGGATAAAAATATAATTAAATAAATTATGTTTATTAAAAAAATAACATGTTTCAAAAAACTCAAGTGAAAATAAAGCAAATCATCAAAATCTTGCCAATTTAAGACCAGCGTCGAGCATGTTAACTCAAGCTGCACGAAATCAAGAACTGGGAAGGGAAGCTTGTCCTGCTACTACCTCCTTCCTGACGAGCAATCTGGGGACACTTACACACGAGTAAGCCAGTGGCCCAAAGACTTGTCTGGACCCTTCTCACAGGAGAATAAACATCTCCAGTGTGATCAGAAGGATCACTGAAGTGAGAGATAAAACAGATCACACTGAAGATGAGAACCTTTTAAGTGTGAACCAGATCACTCCAAATCCACCCATGCAGGACAGGCCCTCCGTCAGCTACAGTGGATTATACAGAATCCATCCAAGCATTCCAACAAAACACAGACTACTTCCACCACAATGGCTAAAATCCTGTTGCTTGGCATACTAAGTTGCACTAGAGTGAGTCCATGGGCCAAGATCAAAGATCTTCTCATGGTCACTGAAATCAGCTTTACTATGCAGAAAAGAAACTACAGAAATTTTTAAAACAACAATTATGACCTACCTATAGCAAAGAAAACAAAGAATCAGAAAGGCCTACGTATGCAATGGGATGCTCAGAAGGCTGCCACACTGGGAGTATGCGTTGCTGAATCTTGCCACTTAAAAAGAGTATCATAAGCTAGGGAACTAAACGTTAATTATCAGCACTTTGAATCAGGCCTAGACAGAGAAAAGAAATCAGTGCAGGTCACCAAGCAGGGTCACGTTGTGTCAGCCTCAGTTAGCCGTCTTCTTGCCCTGTGTGGAGTAGCTGGCGTTTCCCATCTAGTTTCAAAACACACAGTCCCACAAAGATATGCATTGCAATGATCTGATCAAAAGGTTTCAAAGCATGGATAATATTGGCCGGTCATCATTGTCCAAATAAGGTCACAGCTGTTGAATTGACTTAGGCTAATAAAAGGCATTCTGCTTTATCTTTTTAAAAATCTGTAGAAGTTCACAAAAGAGGTCAAGGTCTTACTGATCTCTTTGGCCTTTATGGATAGGCAATGGGTTTCAGCTTCTTCTCCTTGAATTTTTCAGCAGTGTCTTTGTCATCTCTGAGATCACATTTGTTTCCCACAAGCATGATGGGAATGTTGGGGCAAATGGAGTCTCACATCTGGATACCACTGGAAGAAAGAAAACATAATTATACTATATTCTGACACGCATACACATCAAGAGTGTAAAACAAAGAACTCAGAAACATTAGTATTAGAGCACTGACATTTTAACATGAAATCATTAACCATTCATTCATGTTATACTGTAAAAAAAGACAGCAGGCCCATTGAATCAGTGGAGCTTTGGAGATTCCAATCCTCTATACATTCCATTGATTCATTGGTTTACTACAGATAAGTTAGAGTAGGCCTATTTGAAGCAATGAAACAATGAGTTGCCATTGATTCATTGGCCTACTCTAGTGTGACTTAGGGTGTAGTCACATGAGCCAAAAGAACTTCAGTTATATTGATTCTGCTGTTGTTTACATTGTTTCATAAATTTCCATTCACACGATGCATGGGTAACATTAAGTTATTTGTTAAAAACAAACAGTCAATTGTTTTTTTCCAACCCCACCACATTGTCTTTTTAAAATGACCCGATCCCTGTATCAATGCAAACCTTATTGTTTTTGGGCGTGTGAACATTGCTGTCGATTCATTTACTTTGTGAATGGTTGCACCCTCACATTCAGTTGATTTGCTAGGAATTGTGTGGAATGTACTCTGGGATCTGCTCTACTCTCTCTGCTTTTAGGAAGGAAGTAAAGCCACCTCTCTTTAAACTGATTTATAACATGGTTTATTTTATTATAATGTATGATGTTTGTGTATGTACTTAATATATTTTAATAGGTGGTTGTGGCTGTATTTGATTTTATTGCTTTTAATCATTCAGTGACAGAAGCCTAGTGGCGATTTACATATGCACAAACTAAATTGTGTAACTCACTGTGGTGAATTGCTGCTAATTAACAAGGTGCTGGTCATACTGTTTTGGGAAGCTGGCACCTCATTTGCACAATGGCAGACAGCCAGTGATGTTAGTTAGCAAAAATTTGTCATGGGGATTAAATAATCTAATTTGTGCAAATTGCCAACAGGCTTCTGACCACTGATTCTTTTTTTTCTTACTAATAGCATCCCAGCCATGGAATGTCCTTTACAAGGAAGCATTCCTAGTATTGACTTTGCTGCCTTCTAGAGTTAGGAAAGATTCTTTGATTTTATCCAAGCTTTTAAAAGATACTGTATTTGCTCTCTTAAGTATTTAAAACTTTTTACATACTTCCAAACACATAACTTCTAGATGATTCAATCGAAAGACATTGCAATTGTCATTGCAAAAGACCATTCAATTCTCCATAACCTATAATAGGATGCCTACTAGGTAACTATTGTTAGTTATAATTTAAATTAAGAGTACTCAGGAGAAATAGCCTAGAACCTCCCCCAGAAAGTAAATAGAAAATATTTACATACTGAACCTGTAGAATGACATCAAAAGTGTACCATCCTCAGTTATTAATTATCCTGTTCATCCTTCTAGGAGAAATGTCTCAAAATGATTGTGTGGCTGTTAGCAGTCCATGGTCCAAAAATGGTGGGGGAATTTATCTTGAAATATTGGGAGGACATTCCCCTGATTTGCTCCACAAGACATCTAAGAATGGAAGAGTTCTTTCATTCATTATCGACTCCAGGAATGTACAATGATGGGGAGCCAGAACAATGCCTTCTGAGTTTTGGCATGTGCCTTTGGGGCTTTCCTGTTCAGAGGTATTTTTCCAATACCACCTGTTACTTTTAGGTACTGCCTTTTAATTCACTCAAGCTTTTAATCTTACTTTCAAGGTCATTCTCTCCACGAAGGCAAGGCGGAGGTGATAAAAAACAAGTCAAGTGAAAACAAAGACAGCCTTTATTCCATTTGGCACAAAATACCACCCAATACAAAGACAAAGGACACAAACAGCATGCCCCCTGGCACAATTGCAAAAAAAAACGCTGGTACCTTATCATATTACTGTAGTAAAAGGAGTACATTATGAACCTGAGGCTTTGGGAACTTCGTGAGATGGCAAAAATCTATGGGGGAAAAACAGTAACGCTGGGAAAGGTTGAAGGCAGCAGGAAAAGAGGAAGACAAAATATGAGATGGATCGAGTCCCTAAAGGAAACCAAGGGCTTGAGTTTGTAAGAGCTGAGCACTGCGGCTGAGGCAATAACATTTTGAAGATCTCTCATTGATTTTAACAGACAGTCTCTCTCTTGCTGGCCTTCGCGCCGTGAAATTATTCTTCTCGTCGCTGCTGTTTGCTTTCATATTCCTGAGTACACTTTCTGAAAGGTTCTGGACGGCTGCTCGAAAACTGAAAAATAAACGTTTGAGTAATTGAAAAAGTACTGTAACCTGAAAAGTAATTTTTTTGGGGGGGGGGAGCCAAGCAGCCGCTTCTCTCGTAATTTGCCGGAAAAGGGCTCTGCTCGCTATTCAACTCCCACTCGTGAAGAGGCGTGCTCGTCCAGTTTGCCAGAACTCACGTGATGACCACACATGCACGTGTGAACCAGGCCGGCCTCTGCCAAGGAGGCGAAGCGTGGTTCTCCGGCGCCGCCTCCGCAGCGGGCGGGCCTGGGCCAAAGGGGGAAGCTGGCGCGGGCGAGGCGTAGCGGGCTTCGGTTCCTGTCCGGCCCGGGATTGGCCGCAGGATGGCGGAGTGCGGGAGCTCCGGCGCCCCGACGACGACGACGCCCGGCCGGGCGCGGGCCTTGGGGGAGCTGGGGGGCGGCACGCAGGCCTCGCAGCGCTTGCTGGCCTACAGCGACGCCCTGCTTTCCATCATCGCCACGGTCATGGTGAGCCAGAGGGCTGAGGCGGGGAGGCGGGCGCGCGGCCCCTCGATCTGTGCCTTGGGGCCAGGCAGACATTCAACCGGAGGATCCTCACTAGAAAGAAAAGGGGGGGCGGACCTGTCGCCCCGCTGCCTTCGTGCAGGGGAAGCTTCCTCCTCCCGCCCCAGCCCTACGGGCACGTGAGAGTGTTCAAACCCACACGGCACGCGTGAAATCCCGTGCGGCTACCAAGCTCCTTTTTAAAAAGCATAATAGGTTGTGTAGATGCAGCGCTTAAAGTGCGCAGGCCTCGTGACTAGGAAGGAGCCTTGGTGCTAAGCGGGTTTTTTTTTCCTTTTCTTTTTAAAGGAACTACGTTTGCCCTGCCCTTCTGCACCGGAGAAGAGCCAAAAAGGCCCGGGGGGGGGGAAGGAAACACTAAGGGGCAGAAAGGGCAGGTAGGGTGCCAGCGCCCCAGCTTTTGCCAGTCACACAAGGTCCTTTTTTTCCTCCCACATCAAGAAAGGCCGGGGGGGGGGGCAGAGGAAACACCAAGGGGCAGAAAGGCAGATAGGGTGCAGGCGCCCCAGCTTTTGCCAGTCACACAAGATCCTTTTTTTTCTCCCACATCAAGCAGTACAGTACAGTAGTTGCTTTGGGCATCCTTTCTACTTATCAGATCCTCACCGCTCTATCTGGTCCTTTCTCCACGTTGCTCAAAGGAGTGTAGATGTGATTCTTCTTTCCCTCCTATTTTATCCTCACAACACCCCTGTGAGGGACAATAGTCTGAGAAATGTGGATTAGTTTAAGATCATACACAGGGTATGTGGCCGGAAGAGGGACAGCCTCCTCAAGTCCTAGTCCCTATACCCTCGCCTTTTCTTCCTCTTCACGTTTTCCCTCCAGACACACCAATCTTTCAAATCCTGTATTCACTATGGCAGTCGTAGTAGGAATATGAGAAAGATTGAAAAGGTTGACCTTAGCCAGTGTATTTTTATCAAGTGTATGCAGGCATATGCCCTTGTTCTGTATGTGTTGTCTAATTGTAGCTGGCATTTTGGTGCATGAAATGGGGCAAGAAGGGTTCCCATGAGGGTTGGATGTGGAGACCCCTCAGTGCAAGAGCAGGCAGTGGGGTGGCCCTCCAGCTAGTCTTGGGCTGCAGCTCCCATAATCCCTCCCCACCAGCTGTGCCGTCTAGGGCAGATGGTTGGGAGTGGCAGCCTGACAGCAGTGGGAGGGCTGCAGTCGCACACCCCTGTTTCAGTGGAAGGAATTCAAAAGTTAGTAAGAACCTGTAGCATAAGATAGTCAGGCTGAACATTTTTGTCTTGTACTAAGAGCCAAACGGGAGGGTCAGTTTCCCCAGTAGTTACAAGAATTTAGAAGAATCTCCCTTTAAAGGTCTTCAGGTGGTATCTAAGTGGGATAGTGTGACCCCAGGAGGAGGTCAAGGGAGCAGCAGGCTTTGTCTTCCTGGAACTGGCCAGAGTCTTTTCGCTTCAGCCTGATCTGTTAAATGGGAATAACCAGGTTTTGGTTTTATGCTGATGCAGTAAAGCCATTGATTTTAAGCAAATATTTTCTGTATCCCAATTCAAAGCATCAGATTGTCTTTCTACCCTTTCCATGACCTTAACATAGATGCAAATACAGTTGTCTTCCCCTGCCCGCTATCTGACGCATATGCATGGCAAAACTTGAATATTATTTACCTGTATTTCTCCTGTTGCAGATCTTGCCTGTGGCCCACACAAAGATACATCCAGATCAGGTACCGTGTATTTCAATATTCAGTTCAACATATTAAATTGCACTTTGAATGTACAGTATGCTTGGTCTGGTACAAAGCACCATGTAGTGTCGGAGAGTGATTTTAAAAAAAATAGTTCCATGTAGTTTTAAAGCCCAAGATGGCCAACCTGTGCCACGGAGAATGGGTCAGATGGTGGTGATAGGACAAGAACATTTGTAGACCCAAAGATTCTCCACCTCAGTCTACAAGAGTGTTTCCCGATCCTGGGGACTGCAGATGCAGCTGGATTTCAATTGCCACCACCTTGATCACTGGCCACATTAGCTGGCACGATGGGTGTTACAGTCTAACAACATTTGAGGATCCACACTTGTGAACCACTGATCTAAAATAATGACAGAAATCCAGTGGTAAGTCACAGTTACAGTAGAACCTTTGAATCAGTGGAGATTTGGTGAGTCAGCTCCTCCATGGGCTCCACCGATTCAATGGGCCTACCTTAGTTGGGCCTTTTTACTGAATTTCGGCCAGTGGTTCTCAGCCTTTCATATCTTATGCCTCACCTGTTTTGGAGCTTTCTGTCGTGCGATTTCAGCGATGCAGATCATCCAAGTGGAACAGAGAACGTCATGTAATCATTGCCCACATACAGTGGTGCCTCGCTTGACAATGATAATCCATTCCAGCGAAATCGCTGTAGAGCAAAATCCTCATCAAGCAAAATAAAAAAGCCCATTGAAATGCATTGAAAACTGGTTCAATGCGTTCCAGTGGGCTAAATACCTCATCATGCAGCGAAGATCCTCCATAGGGTGCCATTTTTGGGTGCCTGTACAGCAAAAAAATCCATCCTAAAACCAGCAGGGAGCCATTTTGCACAGCGGGCAGCCATTTTGAGAGCTGCCGATCAGCTGTTTTAAAAATATCGTTAAGCAAAAAATCAGTTCCGGAAGCAGGGAACCATTCAACGTTAAGTGAATTTTTCCCCTTAAAACATCATTTTGCGATCGCAAAAACCTCATTGTCAAGCGGATTCGTCGTTTAACGAGGTAATCGTTAAGCGAGGCACCACTGTATTGCCAAACCACTTTGTAACTTACATAAACACTCTGGAGGGGTTTCCTGATGGAGCTGGGAAGATGCTTTTCATGCAGGCTATGGTTCTGAAAGGTTAAAATGAATAATGTGTTTTGGAAACTGAAATGGAAAACAGCTTCCCAGAAGCTCTACATTCTAGGGCAGAAAGACACTGTATTTTGTTTCAACATGCAATACAGTTTCAAATTAAATCTGTTGGGTAAAGGAGCTTTGCTTTGGAGCTGAATGAATAGGAGCCACCCATAACTAATTTATGGAGGGGGGAAATAATGGTTGGTGTGGTGAAACACAAATGGTTCATTCATTCATTCATTTATATTTCATTAGCTTTATATACCACCCCATTAGTGCGATTGACTATTC